CTCGATTCCAATTCGGTTTCAATTTATAATGTCGAACTAACTCCTTCCCAAGGATATCTGCCTACTTTCTCGCTCTTCTTCTCCTGTATAACGAGAGATGTAATTCTGACTGGTGTGGAGTACAATTTCAGGTTAGGCATGGCTTTTGCCTTTGGTATGAATTGCACTTTCGTAGATAATTCACATGTTGTTTTAACAAGGGTCTTGAAGTAACTCACGTGTACAACATTTCGTTTGTCTTAACCGCGGAAAAATTTGTCCTAGACGGGAATTCTTGGCCAGACCACATGCTCAATTGGAAGTCCTCGGTCGCAGGAAGATGAGCAAAGCATTGAATCAGTGAGAAACTGACCTCGGCATTTTTCCCCAAATCCTTGTCAGTTACAATAATTTTTCCTACGGGAACTGCTACATGGTGCAAGGATGAAAAATATTTACGGGTGATCATTTTTTGAATTAGATACGATCGGAAGTGCTACGTCACAGAAATAAAAAGTGAGCAGAACAAGCCATGCTGAGACCGATACTAAGCTTTTCCACGATCAGCTAGTTTTAATTTACACACGACTCCCGCAGCATATTTGACCAAAATAATCACGAGTGTTTTGATCGAATCGACCCATCTTCTGAAGATATAGCTCTAATTTGAAGTGTTAATAATTGATCATCTGGCTAACTTGTGTGGCAAACAGCGACAATAAGGGAATGCAATCTTCTTCTTCATGTTCTGTTGATGGTTTGGTTTATTTCGGTGGAGAGTTGAGAAGTTGTTTGAATAAGCACAGTGGTATGTTATTTAATACAGAAATACTCCTTAATAATGCATTAAGATTAAAACAAATAGAAAGGGGAGTAGAAATACGCTCAGTTCCGAGAACTCGTAGACATGCCAAAACATTACAGTACATCAATATGGATATTACTAAGTTTCGGATGCTGTTGATAAAACCTTCCCTGCGGCAAAGCTCAATGCTCTATTCGCATCGAAGCTAATCATGGGCTTAGGACTGAAGGACAAAATGTCTGATTCTGCTGGCTCATTTTGTTTGTACTCATTTACGTGTTCCAATGAAACAACATGCATAGGCCGCACAGCTGGGCGTTTGTCGATCTGTGATAACCACCCTGCATTGGCTAAATACAGGGACGATTGGGTCACACACACCTAGATGAAACAATTCACCGCGAAAGTCACCGAGGCATTCCGAAACCTGTATAGGGTTGCAGGGGGAACATCAAGGCGGGTTTCCGGTCGAATGCTTGCACAAAAATAACCGTGAGAATTCATCTACACAACCACCTCTGTGTGCTCCAAAACAATTTTTGCAAGCTCCTAGGCCTCCCCTGGCCCACCCCAAACCCACTCCTTATTTCTAGTAGTTCACATGATTAAATGACAACAAAAAAGTGGGTGATCCACAAGAATTCATATGCGGTCCGAAGACGAAGGTAGTTCGAAGTAATTTGTGATGTTAATTTTCCCTTCCATAAAAGAACTTTTATAGTTGAGCGCATATAATATATACACATTTATTTAGGTAAATGAAGTTATGGTGATAAAAAGTGCAATTCCTAAGTACAATTACTATGAATAAAGTGCCAAAATATTACCGGATACACATGCCTGACGAGCAGCAAGAACCGCAAACCAGTCGTATTCTTCTAGGGAAATGTTGTCAAGTTATTCATATCACTACTCATTATGAAATATATACATTGTGATATTGCAATATTTTGGCTTAATTAAGAAACACTTGAAATGAGCTTGGTATATTTGAAATGTGCTCTTTGTGGCTACTTAGAAAAATAAACTAATTACGATTAGGTTCCGCAAAGCTTCTCAATTGTAAGTGCTTGCTTGACCCATCATTTTTGCCTTAACCAACGAATGTAAAACTCAAAATTCCAGGAAAAACAGAGGGTTGAAAAGAAAAATAGACAAATTTAGATGTTTGCTTGATCACCTCAATCAGTGAATAAAATGTATGATTTCGTCTTCAGTTCAATTGAAGCACTCGACAGGATTGTCCTGAGCGTCTGAACACAATGCAATTTAAATCGATATGTCAAATTGAAGAAGTAATTTACTAATCTGTTTTTGACAGCTTCTTTAACGTGTATTCACCGAAAACGTTGGTGGATAGAGTTATATCAGCTATAGGGCGTTTCATGTTTAATTAAAAACATAAATCAAGGGAGGAATTATAGACCGTTTCTATAATAATTCGATATCTCTTAAGTGCCGGTCCTAACCAGAACATATTTTTATCCTACAGATGGAATTCGTGTATCTATTCAAAGGATATTGATGTTCAAACTGTTTGAGATTATTCTTAATCTTCTAAGCCTTCACTGCTAATGCTGTTCGAAGAACGACGATTAGCTAGTTACGCACTCGTATTTAAATTCCAATGCATTGCTACAAATCGTGCCATCAATGGATCTCAACCAACTATTCAATCTATTATTTGCGAGGGATGGTAAATGTTTGTCAGTTTCATTTGTCCTAGTCGATAATTTGGATTTCTGCCAGGGACCGAGATGGATCCCTACATTCTCCTTCCCCAAGAAATAAAAGGAGTCGCTTAATGTTCTTAATATCTTACTAATTACCCGGTGATAATTAAAAATTTAACTACCTTGAAGAAAGGGAAAAGCTTTGATTTGGCCAAATACGTCGTGTTTTTAAATCTTCTTGTGAATTACTATTATTATCATTATTATTTTTATTATTAGTAGTAGTAGTAGTAGTAATATTAGTAGCAGTATTAAATCATCTAGCACCTTTTTATGGTCAGTTATTGGTGATTATGTGCATGCCAGCCATTGTAAACATGCACATCTTTGTTCCTTATAATGGTACCGATATATTATGCTTCAAGTCCCACAACCTCACCTCATTTGGCGGCTTTTGAAGACTTTTGTGAATTTTACTAGAACTCTGTATT